TATATATATATATATATATATATATCTGTGTGTGTGTGTTATAATTGGAATTGAGCTGCAATATGAGCATATGGCTCCTGAGTCTCTATCATATACATTTGTAGGTACAGAGATAAGATCAGAATCGGACCTGTTTGACGCAGCCATCAGGGAACTCTCTGGCCATGTGGATCGCCATGCCTCCCCTTCCGAAGACATAACGCACCTGGAGGTAGGCACATCCCTTAGAGAATTAGCAACAAGTACTGCGGATCAAAGCACCAAGGATGAGGACACAGACGAAGCAGTTGCTGATAAAGACAGTCACAAGATGCCTCTGCGCAGACAGCAGTTCACGCAGTCACCAGCGCAACTCAGGCAGACTGAACTCGCACGCCGAGGTCTGTCTCCAGATACCGTTGTAGCAGAATCGACACCGTCTCCGCCTCCCAGTACAGCCTCGATTCGACTACCCGTGGTGGCCCAGAAAGCGGTGTGTGTAGAGTGTGTTCTTCGTGCTGCCATTAGGTAATTCGTTCCTAGTATACCTACACGCTACTTGTTATGGGAAGAGCGGGGGGTGTGAAATACATGTTTTGTGTGGTATCAATATAGAGCTTGTACGCGCTTTCCTAGGACTCGGGGCGGCGCATTGATGGTTGGGTGCAGTGTTTTTCTGCTCGGTGTTATTAGGCAGCCTGTGTGTGCCTGCTTGGTACATAGCGTGGGAATCGTGCTGGGGGTTGTGTAGAAGAGGTGTGCAGCATGTGGTCTTCGCCCGGTTGATAAAAATGCTCAAGCCAAATCCTGATTACCCGTGTAATTATCAGTGTACAAATATAGCGCAAGCGTATAAACTTCTCTGACAACCTAGTACATAGCACACTATGAATTTGAAATCCTGAATATACTCATCCATACATCCCCTCATAGTAGAATACGCCTTGATATCTCTCACTCTAGGCCTCATCGTCGAAGGGTACAGACACCACCCAGTCTTTGCGAAACTACATCACCGTGCTAAACATCCTGCGCGTCATCCAGAAGTTAACGAAGAACAAAGCAGATCGTGTGCGACTGTTAGTGCAATTCAAGGCACACTCTGTGTTCCGTACGCTTATCCGAATCGACAACGAGGCCATAAATATATACGCACTCAAGGTACTTAAGAGTATGCTGACCTACCTGCCCCGTAAGTGGCGCAATAGTAATATGCTGGTGGTAACGGGCATATACCTGCGCCTTGGGAGTACACTCAAGGATCACTGGACTATCACAGACCCGGATTTGCAACCACCGCCACACACACTGCAACAGGCGGCCTTGCTCGCTGAGCAGATTGCGACGTTCAACCGCTATCACTACGAGGAAGAGGTGTGCCGTGTGACGGATGGGATGCCACCATTTTATTGTACGCTGTACATGTGTGAATGGAAGTGGTGTGCGTTGTGATATGTTGGATGTAACTGTATATAATGTGGGATCGCATTCACATATGCATAGACGAGGTATGCAGATTGATATATCCGATGCAAGCAGCATAAGATTGGAGAATTGCCTATGCATTGAAGTAGCGTGCCGCGTGCCATTTTGTGTCGATACTACTTAGATAGAAAAGATTTGTCAGAGCGATAAGTTGAGTGCAATAGGGGCAAACAGTGAATATACTTGAAGGCGACTAGACTTGCAGTAGTTTAACTATAGCTACCAGGAGGACGTATCCGATGTGCTGTCTTGGATTCGGGTAAAACCTAACAACAAGATACTCGGGCAAAACCCTGAAAAATGAAAAGAGTAGGTAAAGGTGACGGGTTTAATGTACTGGTTTCTGGCATCGACAAAATATGAGTAAGTCCAGCTATTATTTTCTGGAGTGCTAAGATCCAGAAGAGGTATGTGCTGCGATGTGATGAGTCTAAGTGATGATTATGGAAAATTGTGTTCGATGTGCTGGCTTGCATCAGGATACAGAAGTATCCTTAGGCGTCGATATGAAGGCGTTTGAGCGATAAAACATGCAATGGGTACCGTCTTGGATCAGGATGTATATTTATACATATATATGTATTCAAATACATGTGTCTCTCACTTCAATAATCGTAGCGTGCATATGTATGTGTGAAGACATATAAAACAGGCTTTCACGAGAAGGCTTCTGAACGGAATCCCCTCCGAGTGGCGCTGTGAGCCATAGTGTTACATGCAATGGTGCAGAGTTATATCTTAATCCACCAGAGTGCAGAAAACCTTACCTTTGCTGCGCTACCATTATAGTTATCAGCTAAGCTAGATCACTACTATAAGAGACTTTGAATGGTATCTCACCGATAGTGCAGTGTGTGGTGCGTGATTGTGCTGTCGCACTTCTATCTATCATACCTGTACAATCAACGCTATTTACCGAGACCTAACTTCAGACAAATTGATGATAATCGTACCTTATGTGAATCGCTTACGCAGGACACATACTCTGAGGCTACCGGTTCTCTGTGGGCCACAATAGAGACCGATGGATATGTAGACAGGATTGAAAGCAGGCTCTGCTCCAGTCTGCAAGCAGTATGTATACTATTACAACGGGGCATTTGCAGATGTTGTTTGATTTTTCTAATTATGTGACTAGTGAATTTGTACCTATCTACTTGTCTTTGAAATTACATAAAGAAGTACTGCGTATTAGATCTCCTGAGTGTAGCCGGATGTGTATACGAACGTGCGAAGTACTGCATATTAGAAATTGCAAGCTCGGCAGGATCTTTTGCTTAATCGAAAGATTTTATAAAAGAAACAGCTTGCTAGGCACATAATTCGTTGCCTATGGACAATTACCATGCTCACTTTTGTCATATTTCAATTGTGGTAATACACTAAGTCAATTTATATCATGGGACGACATACATTAATATCTGATCAGAAATAATAACGAGAGAAAAAATAACTCGGTATATATTGTAAGAAAATAAAACAGTGTGCCGATCACTTCTGCTTGTGTATAAATTGGCATGCTTTGGTTTTCCAATTTGTTGCATTTATTTCCGAACGTACCAAATATGCGCGACCAGATTACCCACACATGCACGTGCAAGTGTACACTCAGTAAACATCGACTCATCTATCTTCCACATCACCATGTGACAGAGCGGAGACGATACGATATGGAATAATCCGACAGGAGTAGTGCACGAGTGGGAGTTTGAGCTTTGGATGCGTCGCGAAGGTGTTTTCCTCTTATTTGGCAGTTAGTAGTATCTTGTTAGGCGGTTAGTATTGGACGACTGACCCAGCTTGCATGCTATCACTGGGTTGATTAGATCAACTCTCACACTACCAATGGGTATGAGTTGGTTAAATTAGCTTCATGCATTCAACGTGATTAATTTAGCTAATTCCACCACTGGCAGCTTGGGAACTAGAAAAGATTTTAAGAATTACATCACGATACCATAAGTGAAGGTCTTCAATATCAATAGGAACTCCAGAATGGAAAATGCGTTGCTTGCTATTCTACCGCTGCGCCGTGTTGCTACAAAATAAGTCGTAGAATTCAGTTCCAGATTGGTTCTCAAAACATATACGGACCGTGGGAATTGTTGGCAGCGCATTATAGTGATGCACTTGAACAAAAATGAGTATTAAATAAGGCGTACTCCGTATTAGGCTTCCTACGTTAGTGAAGTTGAGTGGAAGAAGCTGTATCATTCGGACATATTGTAATTAACAACAGCGTTCTCAAAACATATACGGACCGTGGGAATCGTTGGCAACGCATTATAGTGATGCACTTGAACAAGAATGCGTATTAAATAAGGCGTACTCCGTATTATGCTTCCTGCGTTAGTGAAGTTGAGTGGAAGAAGCTGTATCATTTGGACATATTGTAATTAACAACGGCACACTACCATAAAATAGGCTACGAGTTTTACTAATGAATGCGAGTAGACCAAATGGTGTGCAGCGCTGGAATATTCCGGCGAGTGGGTGAGTGTTTCTTTGCAAAAGCTGTATCATTTGGACATATTGTAATTAACAACGGTACACTGCCATGAAATAGGCTACGATTTTTACTAATGAATGCGAGTAGACCAAATGGTGTGCAGCGATGGAATATTCCGGCGAGTGGGTGAGTGTTTCTTGCAAAAGATTAAGAATTACGCTGTCATATCACACGTACTAGCAACTGCCATATACTGCCAAATAAGCGCGGGAGTCTCAATGGGCGAACAATGAACTATGGACCTCTATTATATAACTGAGAACCCATACAGACGATTGTAGAGAAATAGAAGTACAATAGAAGTACATAATAGAGTACATTGTCCGCGCCAGCAATAGGGCAGGACCTTCGTATGTCGATTGTTAAGAATCTCGCAGTGAATAGGAAGTAGAAAGATTGAGATTGACAGCCCGATCCGTCTTTCAGGACCGCTTTATGTCCCAACAATCTTGGCCCCCTTCTGCTCAACTATAAGCGAAAACTCATCACTGGACAAGCGACAGACCGGCAGTGTTCAGTATTTAGTATTTACTGTTTACACATCTGGCAATGTAAAACAAAATGTCACACTTATATATGTGGGTATGACAGTTCAGACATGAGTGCTCACTGATGACTCCATTGATGAGTGGTGACTATTTATAGTTATCGGTATAACTGTCAATGTCTGTAACACTGTTCAGCAATCAGCAGTCAGGCTGGCTAAACGACTTTGCGTAGGTTTCCGACATGTCGGAAAAGAAACCATTATTCTACAAACCAAACATGTCGGAAAAGATTGTATTCACGATGACTTTTCGGCCGTGCCGAACATGTCGGAATGTATGTGTATATTGGTAACCTGTATAGGGTCTCGAACTGTTCCAGTCGACAGTTTCCGACCTGTTTTTCGACATGATGTCGTATAAGAATCCATGTATTCTACATAACAAATATATCAGGAGTTCTGGACTTTAAAAAAAACAAATATTTATGGCTCTTAAAAATATGTCGGTTATTTACCAGAGCAGCAGTTGTTCAAACTTGAAATTTTTTTGGAAGTAGATACATACGTACATGTTAATGTATGTAGACACAAAGTCTTTTTCTTAAAACAAAACAGTCTTCACTGCGATCCAAAAACATAAATTAATATTCATGAGTATTTACGAAATATGTATTTTACTACTAGTAGTAGTCTACTCTACTAGAAATACTACATAGTATAGTGAGAGTATTTTTAAAGAGACATAAAATAACCTTCTTCATACTATTTGTACACAACAAGAAAGAGAGAGATCGGAGAAGGCTATGGAGAGAACTTCAAAAAATATGAGCAAATAACCACATAAAAAAGTGTTTTCTGTGCCTAAAAAGAATATTTATTTACGTACAGTATTTACTAAATACCATGTACATAAATATGATACAACAACAAAACAATCTATTTTTTTCTTTTAGAAAAACAATAGGAACACAAAGCCTAAAACCCTGACTAAATATAACCTGCTATTTATATGGATAAACTACTCATTCCTGAAAACGTCTAAACTGTTTTTATTAAAAAAACAGAAAAACTATAAGCCAATATATTGACTATTTTAGCCGTTATTTAGCCGCTTACAGATTAAAACATGCCTAAAGCTTTTTTCCAGGAGAAGGACATGGAATACATAACTAGTTGATAGGTCTTGGCCACTTTGTAGTTTTACGATTGTTTTAGCTATGGCCTATAAGTTTTCGCCCATAGTCATTTACTAATTTAGACATAAGAGAGCTTTTGTTGTGTTTTCTATTTAATTGTTTTTTTTTTAAACTAAACAATAAAACTCTCAGGTCGCAGCACTCAGCACTGCCAGTCTGCCACCAGTGACACGTCACCGACTGTAGAGAGTCAATACAATGAGTGAACAGGAGATCCCGGAGGACCCGGGCCCCGGGGGAGAGGGTCTGAAATTGTTTATTTTTCTAAAACAAACCAAAACAATAAAAAACATATAAAACATCGCCTTCGCCGGCATTCTAATTTAGGGCTTAAAATTAGACAGGGGCAGGGTCCGCAATGAATGTAGGAGTAGGAACTGGAAGCTCTGAACTCTTAGAGTTGTTTTTTTGCTCTCTGCATTTCTCCTACCTTTTTTTTTATGACAATGATAATCCTAAGGGCTTTTAAAGTGCTCTCTATAGAAATTTCAACACATGGAGGATTTTTCCTAAATTTAAAAGACACTAGAAGAGAAGGACCATAAACGGACAAATGTCGACAATAATAAAAGTTGTCACAGCCTCACGAGTCACGGCTCACAGCCAATCAGCCACATACTTCACACTTCACACTTGACACGCTCTTCTCTCTTGTTGTGGTCTGAAAGCTGTGCATGCCTTTCTTTCAGCAGTGATAAAGATTCACACACCGGCGCCAGCGGCCAGCAGACCCGCAACTCGCCACTCGCCACACAGGCTACATACAATACGTATATGATACTCTACGAGTACAACGAGAGTTCCTCTTTTTTTAAAAGAAACGAAATCGAACTTGATATTTTTGTTATCCAATTTTCTTTCAATAAAACCCAATGGTTTTTACGAATTGCGAATTGATGAGGGTCCGAGACTCCGAGCCGCTAGTTCGCAGAGGGCTTCGCCCTTCAATCACATTGCTTCATATATTTTTTTAACTCGAGGTATTTGTTTCAGTATGATTCACTATGATTGTATTTGAAGTTGTATGCAGCAGTATAAAATACACTGTGCACATGTGTCCTGTGGCCTGTGTGGAGTGTGTGTCCGGCAGTGAAAAAAATCAAAAAAAAATATTTGAAACAGTATTTCTATTAGCTTTTGGGTGGAGAGTATTTGCTCCGTGAACTGTTCGTTCATTACTCCTGCTCGCAGGCGTGCAGGACGTTTCTGCCGTCTGCGGCTCTACGACATGTTCATAACTTCATCGACAGGGTCAACCGTCAACAGTGTTTCTGACTCATGATGATGGGTGGTGTTTTTTAACTGAAATGATTTTCCGTGTAGTTCCAGGGTATTCAATTTTCTCTCTCTAGCAGAGGGCAGCAGAATCGACCAGAGCGAGCCACTCTCCTAGAAATTTATTCGCTTCTTGCATTGTGCATCTTTCTGCGGGGTCTACCGCACACATCGCTGACAGGAGAGTTTTCGCGTTCGTCGACAGGGTTCTCCAAATGTCTTTGGGGCCGAGGACCGCTTCTCCTTTACTATATTCTGCGAAACCTCGCACATCCAAAGTGGCTGCTTTGAATGGAAGTTTCGAAGTCAGCATAGCATAGATCGTTATTCCTAGTGACCATACGTCGCTCGCTAATAAATCCACTTCCTGAAGATCAGTCTGGTGTAATCCTCGCTGTATAAGACGGTCTGCCTCTAACAATTCGCATGAGACATACGGCAACGTTCCTTTCTTATAACATTCAATAGGCTCGTGTACACTCTGCGCCTCACCAAAATCTATCACGACTACAGTCCCCTCTTTGGTAGTACAAAGATTGTCGGCCTTGATATCGCGATGTGCAAAACCCATACTGTGCATATGCGCAAACACATCCGTCAAATCAAAAGCATGCTGGATGCATTGGAGCTCATCAATACCACCTTTTCCAGAAGCTATTTGATCTACTATATCACCCCCATCATACAAATCCATGGCCATTATCACTTCTCTGTTCATTGTATCCTCGATGTAATCGTGCACTATCGGCAGATTCCTATGTAACCCAATAGCGGACAGAACGTTGTATTCGTGTTTCATTTGTGAGCGGTATGCCCAGCTCGACTTTTTCAGCGCAACGAACGTTTTATCGATGACATCCTCGGCGATGGAAACGATGCACGTGGATCCCTGTTGAATTGGCTTTATGCAGTTGTAGCGCGTAGAAGGTGTTTGGTATGTACGCCCAGTCATTGGAGGCAGAGTGGGTGTGATAGCTTCTGTATCAATGGTTGTAGCAGAGGCAACATCGTGCAATCTTTTATTAGATGCCATCGTGTTGTACTCCAAATTCCAAATCGCCTTGTCCACATTATCGAATGTGAAGACACTACAGGCATTTTCAGATTGTGTATTATCGAACATTGTGAAACCTTAATTAAATTACTTTGGAAGGTACGAAGGTATACGCAAGTAAGTCTACTAGTATACTGTCTGGTATTGTTTGAAGCGGATAGGTCGTATATATATATACATTTGAATTTGAGTTCATATTCTTTAAGGTCAGTCAGTCCGTCCCAATCCGTCTGGCCGTCACTCAAGTTTCGTCAATGTTGTTGGCGCCTGGCGGACGCCGGACTGGCGGTCAAAGGAAAATTACTTGAACTTTCCCAAAGCTATTTATTTTTAATTTTATGTATACCATTCTAAATTCTGAAATTCATGTGCGAGTACTGAGTTACCACCATTACTTGTATATTCGCCGAATTGGGAAATCTGTGCTCATTGCTCCGTGAATCACCGCACAGAGTCACATACTCCATATCAGACTTCTTCTCCTGTCATTCCGCTGATAAAAGTATTTGAGAAAAGAATGCAACAGATGCAGTGATCCGCTCAAGGTCCCAAGTCCCAAGTCCCGAGTCCCAACAGTCAAGCCCACAGACCACTGTGGCACAGCCCTAAAGAGTTGCAAGTCACCAACTCGCAACAAGTCACAGTCTCACAGAAGACAGAGAGAGAAGAGTGACTGAGTGAGTGTCTCGATTTCGTGAGTGAGAGACTGAGAGACTCAGAGACTCAGAGACGTAGAGGACGAGAGACTCAGAGACTCTCAGAGGACAGAATTACTGTTGTCATCTGTCTCCGTGTCTCTGTCTGCTCAGAATCTCATACTCAGAGTATCAGTCACTTGACTCTTTAAAAGTCTTAACTCCCAAGTCTCAAGTTCCAACAGCTTTTAACACCGTAACTCTCCACAAAAAGTCTGTCTGAAACTTCAGACTACATAGGGTGTAGCCTGCTGGGCGCTGGCTGCTGTCTGGAGGCTGAAGGGCCTGAGAGAGTTAGAGCCCTGAAGCAGTGAAGCTCAGAGACTGAAAGTCCGAGACTGTGTTTGAGAGGCAAGCCCGAGGCCCCGGGGGCCTTGGGCCTTGTTTTTGTTTTTTATTTTAGAAAAATAATATCTTCAAAAACTGACGGCCTGATCACTGTCAGCCTCAGGCTGTTGCCCCTGTGTCATCAGCCTCTCAGGTCTCAATGTCGATACTTTTTATTAAAAAAAACAATCCTAGAAAATCGAAAGACATTTCACGTTCACGTTCAACTTTTAATTTTAGTTACACATCATGTTAGGGCAGGTCCTAACGGTTTAAATTTTTCGCTCAAGATTTTTGTTCAAGACCACGTTAGCCAATGAAATCACGCACAGCCTTGAAACTTGAACGGAAATGCAAAATGGTCCCTCAACAATTCCGAGACCATTTCGCACTTTCGTTTTTTAAGTTTCAAATTTCTGCGTTTTACTTAAACTCGCGAAATCACAGAATTTATGTATTTCGACGGCAAAAAATAGATTTTATGGAGCCAATTAAAGACGACCACGAAAATCCCGCTTTCGTGTGAAGTCCAAAAAAAAATTCATCACCCGATGTGCAAAATACAAATCACGTACACTTCGCACGCACGTATACAACCGCAAACATACATATATATGCAATAGCACCTAGCTTCCAGTGTGTACGTGATCGTTTACTTATTCCTTCGTAGTATCAAGTACCTCTATTATATGTAGCTATTACGCTGAAAGCAATAGCTCATATTTAATAGTACGTAATAATTCAAATAATGAACATTGAGTATTCAACATTTAGTGCATGTCTATTAATAAAACATATTTGAACTTTATTTAATCATATTTATTCGGTCTCTATTTCTAATCAAGTTATGTGTTGGCCTGGATATCAGCTCCTCTTCAAGTCTTTCAGTTATGTATATTCTTTTATCAGTACAAGCCATAACTTCTGTTCTGCTTTTACTAGTCCTAATCAACTCCATCCCAATCTCGCGCATCTTACGCTCGGCATCTTCGGTACGCTTAGTTTTTTTGTGAAGATTAACAGTATAATACTCCGTTCCCAGTGATCCCTGATCGTCAACCTTTGGGCAAGCTATATCTCTAGGAAAGTTTCTCTTGTATTCGTTTGATCCAGTACAATAGTTGTGCAGTCGTGCAAGGGCGCATATTAGCTTACAGTTAAATTTAAGACTAAAACGTAAAGGACTCCATAGGATATCCCACTTACGAACAAAAATACCAAAAGCCTGTTCAATATGAATTCTCGTTTGAGAATGCGAATAGCTATAAGAACTTTTTGTATTCGGGTAGTTCGCTAATGTCACCTGGCCAGGGAACTAATAGCTGTTCTGTGCTACCGTATGCAGCATCTCCTACAATGTAATACAGCTCTCTCAATAAACTAGTTTTCCTCGCAAATCCTGATACTTTCCAGGCATTTCTGTCATGCGTTTTTCCCCATGACTTTGCTGAGAACCCCAAAAAATCTATACCGACTATCACAAACAGCTTGGCAGTTAATACCAATACTTCCCAGAGCATTCTACTAAAGTAGGCTGTGTGGTCTTTAAAAATAGTCCATCAGCGCAACCGACACAATGATTTAGCAGTTTTGAGCTGCTATGCGATCGAAATCCATGAGCAATCTTCTCGCAATCAACTTCATTCGTCGGCCACTCCACTCGCAAATCCGGTAGTGTATCATCCTCCAAGATAGCTTTGACAACAGCTCTCAGTATGGAATAGACAGATGTCTTAGACACTCCGTAAGATATCTTCAAATCTTGCACTCTAGTGCCGGACATGATTCACAATGCTATAGCCAATTGAACTTTCAAATCGATCGCGCCATTGCGTTTTCCACCTATCTTTCTCCAGCTTCGGACGTAGCGCTTCCGCCAGAATACAAAACTTTGTATAGTCCATTCTAAATGTGTTGCTGAAAGACCCTTCCTAGATCAGTTCCCCGGCAATCTGCTCAAATGACCGACGGACACGGATTATAATGGGGGACCTAATGCTAGAGCGAATTTCAAAGTCATCGCCGTATACCACGATGATGGCAATCATCAACGCGGCAATTACACTAGCTATTTTTCGCCTAATAACTACATTCATAGTGTATGTATCTACTGCAATAGTGCAGCTAAAATTGTACACATTTGAAGCAAAAATATATTAAGTATCATCAGTATAGTATTTATTTCTAAAAACCTACAAGCCTAAAAACAACCGGCATGACAAATATTTTTGGCGCAGATATTTTACTTGGCAGGATTTATTTTACTCCGCAAAAAAAATACGTTAACTGCCTCTCATGAAGCGATCAGGCCAAATAGTTCGTCCCTCCAGCCAGGAACCAGGGCACAAAAATGTACTCCTTCGGCCTTGAATGTCTTGAATTTGAACAAAAAAATTGAACCGTTATTACTCGCCCTTTAACAATGACCCATAAAAAACTTAAAAAGTGGTACTATAAATAGTTTTTTTTTAAATTGACATTCCCGGCAACGGGATGGCCAGTAGCCGTCACCCGTCAGGCATCAGCCGTTAAGCGGTCAGACGGTCAGGAAAACTCACAGGATTCAGAGCTCGGGGGTCAGGAGTTATTCGGAGAGTAGTAATATTTCATATTTGGGATATTGTTTTAAATGAGTAAAATAGCAGGAGGAAAAAGTAAAAAATAGGATCCAAAATTTATAGATTATCTCATTTATTAATAAATGTTTTTTGAAATACCTATACATATTTGTTTTTGTAAACTTGAAATATGAAATAAATATTCATTTCTATTGTTGATACATTACAGCCATATTTTACTATAAATTTCTGCCAAAAACATGATAATTTCGGACATTTTGTCAAAATAATGAAATATGTTTTAGTGTTTTGAGCCTCGAGGATATTTATGTTTATGAAATATATTAAAAATATGAAGTTCAAGCAATGTATTTATTTAGTGTTCTCTAATCTCTTGCACATGAAATATCTATTTCAATAATTCTGGACATAAAATATGAAACATCTGTTTGAGAGTTATAATACAAAGGGTACCTAACTAACTATACTGCTATACACCACAGATTTTTACTCACAAGAAGAAGAGAGAGTCAAATAGAGCCTATGAGAGATTGACTGACGAGTGTCAGTGTCAGAGTGCACAGTTTATTATTATATAGACATTAGACAATATTGAACATAAATAGTATAGTATTGAATAAAGTACACTATCTACTACAGAGTTTAGTGAGTGACTCATTGTGAGAGTGTGAGACTGAGCCATCTCTTTTTACATATTTTTTATATAAAAACAAACGCAGGAACACATTGTACTGTACCTTTCTCGACTCTCGAGAGTAAATTTCGTAACTTACCTATATATGGAACTATTGTTGATTATTTAGTCCTAAAAATACAACATTTGTTGTTTTGAATTTTTTTTAAATCAAATCAAAACAAATTAGAAATAGTTTTCCATATTTGCACACATGGCCTAATAGAATAGGCCATAACCCATAGGCGATAGGTACATAGCCCATAGCTTCCTTCCCAGCCTCCCAGCCTCCCAGTCCCAGTGCGGCCGGGCTAGCCTTCTATATCATAAAGGCTCGATTATCGGATGTATTATTTATGATATTGCATATTTGATTACTTTTTTGTTTTGTTTTTGACTTTTTGTTTTTATTTTCTTGTTTTTTAAAAGCATTCTGTTTGTACAACATTCTGTTCTATTTCAAGACGGCTATGAACATTCTTTATTTTGTTTCTATTTTTATTTTTATTCTTCAATTATATTTTATTTTTAAAAGCAAAACCACAGTCCACAAGTGTATTTCTGAATTTCATCTGATCGGATCGGTATGAAATGTAAAAAAAGTCTCATGTGACAATTTTAACCACATTTTTTAGTTTATTTTCTTCCCCATTTGTATTTTTCCCCCCCCAAATTATTGCATACGCAGTGACAGACGAGGGGGTAGTCAGTAGTGTGTACTGTGTGATGTGTACAGTATTGTAGCTAGTAAATAGTATTTACTATAGTAGTCTGTACTCTGTAGTCACTACAGTCAACTGTGTACGCTGTACAACACAGTAAAGTGTACACTGACAACACTGTACACTATTTTGTAATTATTCTATTCGTCCTATTCATTGAAAACTGAATACAGCGTACAAATGGTTTGTTATTATTGGAGGATCACAACATCTATACTAAGAGTAAATACATAGAAGACTGATAATATCTTTTTTGCTCTTCTCATTTACTCGGTATTTACATAGTGCATAAGGTCAAGGACACTCACATCTCACAAGAGGTGTGATAGCTGGACCTGGAGTCCTGGACGCTGGTAGTTTATTCATTAATTTTTGGTGCGTTTTTATTAGCTGTATACCAAAGAGGACTATGAGTCACCGAATACAGCGAAAGCAATCATCTTCTAGTAGAGAGTTCGAGAGAGGTTGGGTCAAGGGGCAGGCCGGTAGGGTAATCGACGCTATAATAATAGAAGCGACTTAAAAACCAGCCGTCAAATCGATGGCGCAGGCTCTGTCGCTCCCAGCCTCCCACTCACTCCCTAAATCTATTTTCTACATATTACTATCACATGCTCACACATATGTGTGCGGTGATGCTTCGGTGATGCTTCTAAGGATTACGATTGTTGCCAAATGCCTATACATACCTCTGTTCAGGTAATTGGTTGCCTGCATAAATTATGTACAATGCAATATCAAGCTGCAATTCACATCATGACTGTAATTTACGTCCTTTTTTATACACGCAGGAAGGATTTAGTTGTTTGGAAGGAGTGCGCCAAATTCTGAGTACGCAAATCCCATAAGCAAACACAAGTGTGTGCATATTTGAAAATTGATTTTCAGAGTCTAGGCATAAAAAAGTAAGAAAAAACAGTAGATAACTATATGTGCGCTTATATGAGTATACTGCAGGTATGAGCATAGTATACGAGTGCGCCATTCAACGTGGTTGCTAATTTTCTATGGCTATGCGAGTCTTGTGTATATATGAGTTTGCAATAAATCGATATATATATGTGTGTGTGTGTGTGTGTGTGTGTGTGTGTGTGTGTGTGTGTGTGTGTGTGTGTGTGTGTATAAATATATATATAATATATATATATGTATA